CCCCATTCCCTCCTCCCTCCTTCCCCTGAAAACCACAATTCTTTCTGTCTCTATGAATTTTATTACTCTTATATAAGTGCAATCATATTTATCCTTCTGTGTCTTGCTTATTTCACTTAGCATAATATCTTCAAGGTTCATCTCTGTAGTATGCTGAAAGGCTTAGTTTTTTTTTTTTGTTTTTTTTTTTTTTTTTTTTGAGACAGAGTCTCTGTTGCCCAGGCTGGAGTGCAGTGGCATGATCTCAGTTCACTATAGCCTCCACCTCCTGGATTCAAGCGATTCTCCTGCCTCAGCCTTTCGAGTAGCTGGGACACAGGCGCCTGCCACCACGCCCAGCTAATTTTTTGTATTTTTAGTAGAGATGGGGTTTCACCATGTTAGTGAGGATGGTCTTGATCTCCTGACCTCATGATCTGCCCACCTTGGCCTCCCAAAGGCTGGGATTACAGGCATGAGCCACCACACCCAGCCCGAAAGGGTTTTAATCAAAGGAAAATTGTGATCATAACAGCATTTTTTCTTTCTTTACTTTTTTTTTTCTTTTTCTTTTATGTGATGGTTAATACTGACATACAGCATTTTTAAGAGATCACTCTGGCTACTGTGTGAATGAGTAAAAAGAAAAAAGTGGATGAAGTGAAATCAAGTAGACAGGTGGAAACTGTAGATTGTACCAGGGAGAGGAATTGAAATGAATAGACTCAAGATATCTTCAGAAAGTAGAGCCAGCTGGACATGGTGATACATATATATAGGTTAACTGAAAATACGTGGTGTCTCCTAGCAGCTTGAGATTGGGAATATGATAAGAAATACAGTGATCCTTGACTTAGGATGGCATTACATCCCAATAAACCCATTGTAAATTGAAAATATCTTCAATTGAAAATGCATTTGATATGTTTAACCTACTGAACATCATAATTTAGCCTAGCCTATGTTAAATGTACACAGAACACTTACATTAGTCTATGGTAAGGCAGAATCATCTAACACAAATTCTATTTTATAATAAAGTGTTGAGTATCTCATATAATTTATCAAATACTGAAAGTTAAAAACATGATTACATGGGTACAGTATGGTTCCTATTGAACACATATAGTTTTCCCATCATTATAAAATGAAAAAATTTTAAATTGAGCCATCCTAAGTCAGGGACTATCTGGGTTTGAAGGTACTATGGCATGACTATGAATTCTGTTTTGGAGATGTAACATTTGATGTTCCTGTCATGCATCCAAGAGGAGGTATAGAATAAGGTGTTAGATACAGAAGTCTGGAGCTTAGAAAAGAGACCCAACCAAGTTATATGAATTTATAATCCAGTAGCATATAGATAGCATTTGAAGGCATGAGAGTGGATAAGATCCCCTATAGAAAAGAATACAGAATAGAGGGAAAAAAGAGCCTAATACTGAACTCTGAGAAACTCCAGCATTTAAAGGAAGAATGAAAAAATTAGGCTCTTCTACCTTTGAAAGAAAATTTACTTAGAGACATTCACCCAGCAGGAGGAAGAGTTATATGTCTTTCTTATGCCATCTAGCCTTCATAGACCAGAGCTTAAATCTGTTAGGTTACATTCAGACAAGGCAGATCCGCTTCTTTTTTTTTTTTTTTTTTTTTTCTTGAGACAGAGCCTTGGTCTGTTGCCCAGGCTGGAGTGCAGTGATGCAATCTTGGCTTGCTGCAACCACTGCCTCCCAGGTTCAAGTGATTCTCATGCCTCAGCCTCCCGAGTAGCTGGGACTACAGGCAGGTACCACTATGCCCGGCTAAATTTTTTATTTTTAGTAGAGACGGGTTTTTGCCATGTTGGCCAGGCTGGTCTTGAACTCCTGACCTAAAAAGATCTGCCCGCCTCGGCCTCCCAAAGTGCTGGGATTACTGGTGTGAGCCACCGCACCTGGCCAGCCACTGTGACTGGCCCAGATCCACTTCTTGAACAAATTACTAATATGCCACTTAGAAGCCTTCCAAGTTATTAACACGCCACTTAGAAGCCTTCGTACAGCAAATTACCTAGAATTTGGCTAGGTTCTATCTCAGTCAAGGAAAAACTGAATTATTTATCTGCCTACATATACTAGTATGTATAAATGGGAGGCAGGTTAAATTCTGGCTAGATAAATGATGCTTGGTCAAATCCCATTTCCAAATACAGTATTCATTAAAGACAGCTTTACTGTCACCATTCACAAATCATCATTTGCATTCCAATTGTAACGATTTAAAGAAATGTATTTACTGTGGGATAGCAATCTTTGATGACTGCAACAAAGTTACAAATTTATAAAGTTATAAATTATATTTAAAATTTGTAATAAAGAGGATGCATGGAGTTTGTAATGAAAATACTGGATGGTGAAGTGGGTGATATAGTGGCATTAACAGTTAAGTTGTTAGTTACATGGCTTACACAGAAACCAATTATCAAAGTAAGAAATATTGAAAAGTAATTCATTAGCAATATGTAGAAAAAGCCTTGGCAGGCACCTATTTGAAAAGCATGTATCATGTTATTGTTAAAACAAAACAGCTCTGTATCTGTGTACCCTTATCTTCCTGTCTGGTGGTATCAAGTGATGGTGGAATAATCATAATGAGGAGTATTGAGGATGTCTGCAGTTTAGACTAGAATGTCCTAAGCTAGTCTCTTAACTAGAAACTAGTCTCTCAGTTTACAGAATAAGTCAGTTCTAAATAATCTTCTATAAGAATGTACAGTTATTTGTAGCTGGAAAATAACTGATGATTCCGTTATGAACCCAAATTAATGCTGAACAATATTGCAAATGTCATTTTCATTTGTGAAGTCTAAATCATAGGTTCTTCTTGTCTGATCTATTTGTAATTTGTTGAAATCACTAGTTCCTACATATGGAAGCAATATGAAACCAGTGTCCATTTGTATCCATAAGTTATTCAGGTGTTTAAAACTTTTACTTGAATAAAAGTTAATAGATATCTGGAAGCTGTGATTCTGAAAGTAAGTTTGTTCCTATGCCAAAATAATAATAGTTTCTGAACTCATGTTTCAGTGTCAAGTGGTTATTCATGAGGCTATATATGAAAAGGATTGATATATGTGATAAATTGGACTTTTTCCTTAGAATTCATTTTTGGAATCTTCTATAAAGGATATCAGTCTGAATTAATTTATATGAATATTTGATATGCAAATATTAATATTTCAAATGGCAAAAGATAAGATTTTTAAAAATACAGATTATGAAGGACATTTTTCAAGAGATAATGAATGTCTTCATTTTTTCATTTCATCAGTATTCTCGATTCCTTGTTAGATGCTGTGGTAGGTTAAAAAATGGCTCCTAAAAGTTATACATGTCCTAATCCCCAGAACCTGTGAGTGTTATTTTATATGGCATAAATGAGTTTGCAGATATAATTAAGAATCTTGAAATGGGGAGATTATCCTGGATTATCCAAGAGGGCTCTAAATGCAATCACAAGTGTCCTTACAAGACAGAGAAACGGGGAGATTTGACTGCAGAAGAGGAGAAGGCCAAGGAGGCAGATTGGGGTGATGTAGTCAAAGCCAAGGAATGCTGGCAGCCACCAAAAGTTGGATGAGACAAGAAATGCAGTCTCCTTTAAAGAACTTTCCAAGGAAGCACAGCCCTGCTGTCTCCTTGATTTTGGCCCAGAGTTATGCTGATCTTGAACTTCTGACCTCCAGAACTATGAGAAAATAATTTTTTTTTTTTTGAGATGGAGTCTCACTCTGTTGCCAGGCTGGAGTGCAGTATCACAATCTCGGCTCACTGCAACCTCCACCTCCGAGGTTCAAGCGATTCTTCTGCCTCAGCCTCCCAAGTAGCTGGGACTACAGGCATGTGCCACCATGGTCAGCTAATTTTTGTATTTTTAGTAAAGACAGAGTTTCCCCATGGTGGCTAAGGCCTCTCCAGCCATGCAGAACTGTGAGCCAATTAACTTCTTTTCCTTATGAATTACCCAGTCTCAGGTGTTTTTTCAAAGCAGCATGAGAACAGACTAATACACAGATGCTTTAATTTTATGGAGGCGTAGGAGCCAGGAAACTTATGGCTTGATTCTCTGGAGGCGTAAAGCATGATTTCAGGTGACCAGCAAGAGCCAGGATAAGGAAAAAAAAAAAAAAAAAAAAAAAAAATCCTAAGGCCCTACAATCAATAAATACTAGAGAAATGTATACCAGCTATAGCACAAGTAAAGGAAGGAATCAAGAAAATCATGGAGGTAATTATCTCCAAATTATTATCTTGCTTAAATTATCTGAAAAACTAAGGTCAAAAATGTTTTTTTCCTTGAATTGTCCAAGAAACAGAGTTATTTGTTTATTCACTATGTAGAATTGCTGCAGTGTACTCGGAGTGTTCTCTATGCTACCTTGAGATTCTGAACACAGTCTATCAGAACTAGTTTAGAATTGGCTGGTATCAGCAATTTTTCTTCATGAGAGAACTGTTTTTCTTTTTTCCCTTGATATCACTTCCCCGGATATGATTCTTAGGTTCTGTTATACATTTTTCTTAATTTTGACGCCATCTTTGAAATAGTTTTATTGATTACCTTCACTTACTCTCCTTTCATCCATCTGTTCCTTTTCAAACCACCTATCAAATTTTTTACTAAACACTTAGTACAGGATAGTCAGTTAGGTTCCAGATTAGCCAACCAAAATAAGATCCCTGTACTCCAGAACATTAAAATAGGGAAATCTAGGTATGCATACAGATTAATAAAATGTACAAAGTATAAGCTACAAAAAGGTACTGATTTTTAAAGCTAATATTAAAAAGCAAGATCTTAAATCAATAATCTAAGCTTCTACCTTAAGAAAACAGGAAAAGAACAAATAATCCCAAGGTAAGCAGAAAGAAGGAATTAATTAAGGCAAGAGCAGAAATCAACAAAATTAAAAACAATAGAGAAAATCAATAAAACTAAAAGTTGGTTCTTTGAAAAGATCAATAAAAATGACAAACCTCTAGCAAGACTGACAAAGAAGACACATTTTATTAATATCAGAAATGAAAAAGGGATATCACTAAAGACTTCATTGACAATTAAAATTCTATGCACATAAATTTGACAACTTAGATAAAATGGACCAAATCCTCAAAAGCCACAAACTACCAAAATTCAACCAAGAATAGGTAAACTGAATATCCTGTAGCTGAAGAAATGGAATTTGTATTTTTAAAAAATCTCTTCCAAAATAAATCTCCATGCCCAGATGTTTCTGATGAGAAATTCGAGCAAATATTTAAAGAAATAACACCAATTTTACAATATTTTCCAGAAAATGAGAAAGCATTCCCAGCTCATTTTATGAAGCCAGAATTACTCTGATACCCAAACAAGACAAAGACATTTCCAGGTAAGAAAACTACAGACCAACATCCTTTAATATGATGTCACAAAAATGCTCAACAATGTACACATGACACTTAAATAATATAGAGCTTACAAATGCCAACCACCCCTCCACAGTAGAAAATCTATCCATAACTTTTGACTCCCCCAAACTTAACTACTAATAGCCTACTGTTGACCAAAAGCCTTATGGAACATAAATAGCACATATTTAATATGTTATATGTATTAATATACTGTATTCTAACAATAAAGTTAGAGAAAGGAGAATGTTATTTCTTATAAGGAAGATAACATATAATTACTGTTCATTAAGTGAAAGTAGATCATCATAAAGGTCTTCATCCTCATTATCTTCATGTTGAGTAGGCTGAGAAGGAGGTAGAAGAAGAGAAGTTGTCTTGCTGTCTCAAGAGTAGCAGAGCGGAAGAGGCAGGCACACTCAGTATAACTATGGAAATGCACTATAATTTTTTTTTTTTTCTAGACAAGGTCTTTCTCCATTTCCCAGGCTGGAGTGCAGTGGTGCAATCATAGCTCACTGCAGCCTCAAACTCCTGGGCTCAAGTGATCCTCTGGCCTCAGCCTCCTGAGTGCTGGGACTATAGGTGTGTGCCACCATGCCCAGCTAATTTTATTTTTTTTGTAGAGACAATGTTTTACTATGTTGCTCAGGCTGATCTTGAACTCTTGTCCTTTCACTGAGATACATGCCTGAGCCACCACACCCGGCTACACTGTAATTTTTGTCTGACTTTTTTGCTTTTTCATTTCTCTAAAAATATTTCTATACGGTACCAATCCATATCCTTCTTCCACTGTTTGCTTTAGTTTCAGTGTACACTTCATAGAAGGGTCCATTTCACAAAAGAAGTAAAAAGTGGTCTTGAATAATCAGGATGCTTATGACAGACTGCCTCATGTCAGTTCGTTTCCTGGCACTGCTGCTTCTATGTCTTCCTCCTCATCTTTTGGCACTGGTTCAGAATCACTCAACTCTCTCCTTTTGTCTTGTGTTAACTCCTCTGGTGTGTTGTCTTGAATTTCTCCAAGATCCGTATCTTAAAATCTTTCACCTTTTTTTTTTTTTTTTTTTTTTGCCATATCCATGTCTTCATTTCTTTGATTGGCTCTGTCATAAATTCTGTGAAATGATGCACAACATCTGGACACAGTTTTCTCCATCAGGAATTTATTGTTTCAGGTTTGATGGCTTTCATGGCTTTTTCTGTAGCATCATCAACCTTATAGACTTCTATGATGTCCTTTTGTTATTATTGTTTTAATCTTTCAATCTTTTATTTTTATATAGTTTTCTAAAAGCCCATCTCAGCTTCACATCATTATTTCTTTCTATTGGGGTTCTCATTCATAGTGCTGACATTCCTTTCCACAGAGTACCAACCATGTGTAATGAGCCTTAAAGGCCCTTATGACCCCCAATCTATAGGTTGAATTAGGAACCTTGTTTTGGGCAGCAAGCAGGCCTCATTGACACCTTCATGTTGAATCATGGGGTTCTGGGTGGCTGGGGCATTGTGCTAGATCAAAAGAACTTTAAAAGGTGGTTGCTTACTGGCTAGGTACTTCCTGACTTCAGTGATAAAGCATTGATGGAACCAATCTAGAAAAAGGGTTCTCATTGTCCAGATCTTCTTGTACAACCAAAAGACTAGCAGCTGGTGTTCATCTTTTCCCTTCAAGGCTGGGCAAGGTAGTGTGTTGTTGGAGGAGAGTTTAGTAGCTTTATAGATAAGGGCAATCTTGATCATAAACATGACTGTGGGGAGTATCCAAGATGGATAAATAGGAAGAACTCTGGAGTACAGTTTCCAGCAAGAACACAGAGGGTGAGTGATCACCGCATTTACAAATGAGTTTTTACTGCCCATAGACCAGGAAATTCCTGGGCTGAAAAGCACCCCGAGTTTCCAGCATGGCTGTTTCAGCCAGTGCTGCAGGGCTCCACACAAAAACTCACACAAATCTGGGCAGCCGTTTCAACTGGCACCTGGAACACCTGGGAGATACAGTTGCCCATTCAACTGAAAAAAGGGGGGCTGAAACAGGGAGCCAGCTGAGCTGGCTTGGCAGGTCCAACCCCCACAAAGACCAGCAATCTGAAATGCTCTGGATTGAGAGTTTCACAGCAAGCACAGCTGAACCCAGGACGGTCCAGCTCTTTGTGGGGGAAGGGCGTCTGCCATTACTGAGGCAGTCCGCAATTACTGAGGCAGTCCACCATTACCAAGGCAGTCAGCCATTACTGAGGCAATCCGCCGTTACTGAGGCAGTCCACCAATACTGAGGCAGTCTGCCATTACTGAGGCAGAATGCCATTACCAAGGCAGTTTTAACTATACCTCTTAAACAAAACCACAAGGAAGTTCACACAGCAGCTGGGCAGAGCCCACAGTATCTCAGTGATGCCTCTGCTGGCAGACTGTGACTAGGCTATCTCCTGGCTGGGCAGAGCATCTCTGAAAAAGGGCAGCAGCACATCAGGAACTTATGAATAAAGCGCCACCTTCCCAGGACAGAGCACCAGGGAAAAAAGGCGGTTATGAGTTCCACTGCAGCAGACTTAAATGTACCTGCCCAGCAGCTCTGAATGGAGCAACGGAGCTCAGAGCCCAGCACTTGAGCTCCTATAAGGGACAGACTGTCTCCTCAAGCAGCTCCCCAACCCCGGTATATCCAAAGAGAAACCTCATAAAGGAGAGCTCAGGCTGACATCTGATGGGCATACTTCTGGTAGGAAGATAACAGAAGAAGAAACAGGCAGCAACCCTTACTCTTCTGCAGCCACCACAGGTGGTCCCCAGGCAAGCAGGGTCTGAAGTAGACCTCCAGCAGTCCTACAGCTGAGGGGCCTGTTAGAAGGAAAACTAAAAAAAACAGAAAGAAAGAACTTCATCATCAACAAAAAGGATGTCCACTCAGAGACCTTATCCGAAAGTCACCAACTACAAAGACCACAGGTAGATAAATCCAAACCAGTGCAAAAAGGAGGAAAACACCCAAAACCAGATGCCTCTCCTCCTCCAAGGGATCACAACTCACCACCAGCAAGGGAACAAAGCTGGATGGAGAATGAGTCAGATGAATGGACAGAAACAGGCTTCAGAAAGTGGGTAATAACAAACTTCTCAGAGCTAAAAGAACATGTTCTAACCCAAAGCAAAGAAACTAAGACCCTTGAAAAAAGGTTTGATGAAATGCTATTGAGAATAAACAGCTTAGAGAAGAATATAAATGACCTAATGGAGCTGAAAAACACAACATGAGTACTTCGAGAAGCATACACAAGTTTCAATAGCCAAATCGACCAAGCAGAAGAAAGGATATCAGAGATTGAAGATCAACTCAATGAAATAAAACAAGAAGACAAGATTAGAGAAAAAAGAGTGAAAAGAAGTGAACAAAGTCTCCAAGAAATATGGGATTATGTCAAAAGACCTAATCTACATTTGATAGATGTACCTGAATGTGATGGAGACAATGAATCCAAGCTGGAAAACACCCTTCAGGATATTATCCAGGAGAACTTCCCCAACCTAGTAAGGCAGGCCAATATTCAAGTCCGGGAAATACAGAGAACACCAGAAAGATATTCCTCAAGAAAAGCAACCCCAAGGCACATAATTGTAAGGTTCACCAGTGTTGAAATGAAGGGAAAAATGCGAAGCGCAGCCAGATAGAAAGATTGGGTTACCCACAAAGGGAAGCCCATCAGACTCACAGTGGATCTCTCAGCAGAAACCCTACAAGTCTGAAGAGAGTGGGGGCCAATATTCAACATCCTTAAAGAAAAGAACTTTCAATCTAGAATTTCATATCCAGTCAAACTAAGCTTCATAAGCGAAGGAGAAAAAATCCTTCACAAACAAGCAATTGCTCAGAGATTTGGTCACCACCAGACCTGCTTTACAAGAGCTCCTGAAAGAAGCATGAAACATAGAAAGGAACAACCAGTACCAGCCACTCCAAAAACATACCAAATGGTAAAGAGCATTGAAACAATGAAGAAACTGCATCAACTAATGGGCAAAGCAACCAGCTAGCATCAAAATGGCAGTATCAAATTCACACATAACAATATTAACCTTAAAAGTAAATGGGCTAAATGCCCCAGTCAAAAGACACAGACTGGCAAATTGGATAAAAAGTCAAAACCCATCAGTGTGCTGTATCCAGGAAACCCATCTCACATGCAAGGACACATATAGGCTCAAAATAACGGGATGGAGGAAGATTTACCAAGCAAATGGAGAGCAAAAAAAAAAAGCAGGAGTTGCAATTCTCATCTCTGATACAATAGACTTTAAAGCAGCAAAGATCAAAAGAGACAAAGAAGGACATTACATAATAGTAAAAGGATCAATGCAACAAGAAGAGCTAACGATCCTAAATATAAACTAACTGAGAACTACACAACTTCATGGAAACTGAACTTGAATGTTGACTGGGTGTTGACTGGATAAACAATGGCTCTTGAATGTTGACTGGATAAACAATGAAATGAAGGCAGAAATAAAGATGTTCTTTGAAACCAACGAGAATGAATACACAATGTACCAGAATCTCTGGGACACATTTTGAGAAGTGTCTAAAGGAAAATTTATAGCAATAAATGCCAACATGAGAAGCAAGGAAAGATCTAAAATCAACACCCTATCATCAAAATTGAAAGAGCTAGAGGAGCAAGATGAAAAAAAAAAAACTAAAAAGCTAGCAGAAGACAGGAAATAGTAACTAAGATCAGAGCAGAACTGAAGAAGATAGGGACACAAAAAACCCTTCAAAAAATCAATAAATCCAGGAGTTGGTTTTTTGAAAAGATCAACAAAATAGACCACTAGCCAGATTAATAAAAAAGGAGAATAATCAAATAGGTGCAATAAAAAATGATAAAGGGGATATCACCACAGATTTCACAGAAATACAAACTACTATCAGAGATTACTACAAACAACTCTATGCACATAAACCACTAAACCTGGAAGAAATGGATACATTTCTGGACACATGCACTTTCCCAAGCCTAAACCAGGAAGAAGTCAAAACCCTGAATAGACCAATAACAAGGGCTGAAGTTGAGGCAGCAACTAATAGCCTACCAAACAAAAAAAGCCCAGTCCAGATGGGTTCATAGCCAAATTCTACCAGACATACAAACAGGAACTGTTACCACACCTTCTGAAACTATTCTAAACAATCCAAAAAGAGGGAATCCTTCCCAAATCATTTTATGAGACCAACATCATCCTGATACCAAAACCCGGCAGAGACTCAACAAGAAAAGAAAACTTCAGGCCAATATCCATGATGAACATAGATGCAAAAATCTTCAATAAAATACTGGCAAACCAATTGCAAAAGCACAACAAAAAGCTTATCCATCATGATTAAGTAGGCTTCTTCCCAGGGATGCAAGGCTGGTTCAACATATGCAAGTCTGTAAATGTAATTCACCACATAAACAGAACCAAAGATAAAAACCACATGATTCTCTCAATAGATGCAGAGAAGGCCTTCGACAAAATTCAACAGCCTTTATGCTAAAACTTTCAATAAACTAGGTATCGACGAACATATCTGAAAATAATAAAAGCTATTTATGACAAACCCACAGGTAATATCATACGGAATGGGCAAAAACTGGAAGCATTCCCCTTGAAATCTGGCACTAGACAAGGATGGCCTCTCTCACCTCTCCTATTCAATATAGTATTGGAAGTTCTAGCCAGAGCAATCAGGCGAGAAAATGAAATAAAGTGTATTCAATTAGGAAAGGAGGAAGTCAAACTGTCTCTATTTGCAGATGACATGATTGTATATTTAGAAGACCCCATGGTGTCAGCCCAAAATCTCCTGAAACTGATAAGCAACTTCAGCAAAGTCTCAGGATACAAAATCATTGTGCGGAAATCACAAGCATTCCTATATACCAATAACAAACTTAAAGAGAGCCAAACCAAGAACAAACTGCCATTCACAATTGCTACAAAGAGAATAAAATACCTAGGAATACAACTAACAAAGGATGTAAAGGACCTCTTCAAGGAGAACTACAAACCACTGCTCAAGGAAATAAGAGAGGACACAAACGGATGGAAAAACAATCCATGCTCATGGTTAGGAAAAATCAATATTGTGAGAATGGCCATACTGCCCAAAGCATTTTATAGTTTCAACACTATCCCCATCAAGCTACCTAGGACCCTCTTCACAGAACTGGAAAAAACCACCTTAAACTTCATATGGAACCAAAAGAGAGCCTGTACAGCCAAGTCAATTCTAACAAAAAAGAACAAAGCTGGAGGCATCACGTTACCTGACTTCAAACTATACTACAAGGCTGCAGTAATCAAAATAGCATGGTATTGGTCCCAAAACAGAGATATAGACCAATGGGAGAGAACAAAGGCCTTGGAGGCAACACCACACATCTACAACTATCTGATCTTTGACAAACCTGACAAAAACAAGCAGTGGGGAAAGGATTCCCTGTTTAATAAGTGGTGTTGGGAAAACTGGCAGCCATGTGCAGAAAGCAGAAACTGGACCCCTTCCTGACATCTATACTAAAATTGACTCTAGATGGATTAAAGACTTAAACATAAGACCTACCACCATAAAAACCCTAGAAGAAAACCTAGGCAAAACCATTCAGGACATAGGCATAGGCAAGGCTTCGTGACTAAAACACTGAAAGCATTGGCAACAAAAGCCAAAATAGACAAAGGGGACCTAATTAAACTCCAGAGCTTCTGCAAAGGGAAAGAAACAATCATTAGAGTGAACTGGCAACCAACGGAATGGGAAAAAATTTTTGCAATCTACCGATCTGACAATGGGCTAATATCCAGAATCTACAAAAAACTTAAACATATTTACAAGAAAAAAAAAAAACCCATTCAAAAGTGGTCGAAGGACATGAACAAACACTTTTCAAAAGAAGACATATATGAGGCCAACAAACATGAAAAAAACGCTCATCACCGGTCATTACAGAAATGCAAATCAAAACCACATTGAGATACTATCTCACACCAGTTAGAATGGCGATCATTAAAAAATCTGGAGACCGCAGATGCTGGAGAGGATGTGGCGAAATAGGAACACTTTTACACTGTTAGTGGGAGTGTAAACTAGTTCAACCATTGTGGAAGACAATGTGGCGATTCCTCAAGGACCTAGAACTAGAAATTCCATTTGACCCAGCAATCCCATTACTGGGTATATATCCAAAGGATTATAAATCGTTCTATTATAAAGACACATGCACATGTGTGTTCATTGCGGCACTGTTTACAGTAGCAAAGACCTGGAACCAACACAAATGCCCATCGATGTCCAGTCCCATAGACTGGACAAGGAAAATGTGGCACATATAGATTATGCAGCCATAAAAAATGATGAGTTCATGTCCTTTGTAGGGACACGGATGAATCTGGAAACCATCATTCTCAGCAAACTGACACAAGAACAGAAAATCAAACACTGCATGTTCTCACTCATAGGTGGGTATTGAACAATGAGAACACATGGACACAGGGAGGGGAGCATCACACACTGGGGTCTGTTGGTGGGGACTAGCGGAGGGACAGTGGGGGGTAGGGAGTTGTGGAGGGATAACATGGGGAGAAATGCCAGATATAGGTGATGGGGGATAGAGGCAGCAAACCCCATTGCATAAGTACCTATGCAACAACCCTGCATGTTCTGCATGTTCTGTACATGTACCCCAGAACCTAAAGTGTAATTTTATATATATATACGACTGCATTCATAAAATGGTAGAGTTTGTTATTCCTTCCTGCCTTAAATCCTGGTGCTTGCTTCTCTTCCTTACTAATAAATGTCTTTCATGGCATGTTTTTCCAGAATAGGGCACTTTGTTGGCAGAAGCTGTTTCTCCTGTTACCTTGACACTTTTTAAGTCAAACCTCTTTCAAAAATTATCAAACCATCCTTTGCTGGCATTACATTTTTGAGCTCTAGGTCTTTAAACTTCCTTTTGCATGGCCAGGCACAGTGGCTCATGCCTGTAATCCCAGGAGTTTGGGAAGCCGAGGTGAGTGGATTATCTGAGGTCAGGAGTTCAAGACCAGCCTGGCCAACATGGTGAAATCCCGTCTCTACCAAGAACACAAAAATTAGCCAGGCCTGGTAGCACACGCCTGTAGTCCCAGTTTCTTGGGAGGCTGAGGCAGGAGAATTGCTTGAACCCAGGAGGCAGAGGTTTCAGTGAGTAGAGATGGTACCACTCACTTCAGCCTGGGTGGCAGAGTGAGACTTTGCCTCAAAAAAAAAAAAACAAAAAACTTCCTTTTGCTTTGTCATATAATGACTTCACTTTTTGAATCTTGTTTATTTATAGGTATGACTTTCTTATAGTAATCCTGCACACATATAAAAGCTGCATTTCCAATATGAGATGAAAAGGTATTTTGCAAAAAGGGCAAGGTTTTCATGCCTGCTGGCATAGTTGAAGCAACAGTGTCATGAATTACCTTTTCTATTTTTACAATGGTCCTTATGTTTTATTCATTTATCTTGAAATGGCAGGCAACCACATTTGCAGACCTCAATCCACAATGCATATCGAACAATTCAACTTTCTCTTGAAATGTCATGACTTCGCTGTGCTTCTTAGGAGCACTTCCAGCATCACTAGTGGCACTTTGAATGGGTCACTTAGGAGTACTTCCAGTGTCACTAGTGGCACCTTGAATGGGTCCCATAGTGTTAGACAACGTTTACAGTATTGCATTAAATACAATGAAAAATATGTAAGAACCTTGAGATCATTTATTTACCTTCATATGCAATTTACTGGAGAGACAAACTGCTCACAGAGTTTAACATCACATCACATGGTACTTTCAGTGGATACTTACAACATTTAAGTTCACTGCAATAGCAACAGGAGGTAGCTATTAAATTATTACAGTCATGCAATATGTACTACAGTTAATTTTATAGAGTTTTGATTTAATACTGCATCTTTATGTTTGTCTCGATTGTGAATGGCACCATGTGTGGTATGTGTTTATGTGCATAAGTTTTGATAAATTTTAACTTTTTATAATAGATTTTATGTCTGTGTATATTTTATGTAGTAAATGATAAAACAGGCCACTATCTATGTATTTTATGCATTCATGACATACCTAACTTTTTCTTGCTCTTTGTATATTTCTAGGCTATGCAGTGAGTTTTTTCAAAATGTTGCAAATCTCCAAAACCTTTTCCAATGTATTTATTGAAAAAATCCACATATAAGTGGACTCATGCAGTTCAAAGCCGATGTTGTTCAAGGGTCAACTGTATTAGCAAATTAAAATCCACAATATATAAAAAGAATAACATATCACAATTAAGTGGAATTTATCCTGGAAATGAAGACTGGTTCAAATTTGAAAATCAATCAGTGTAAAATATCATATTAACAGTCTAAAGAAGAAAAACCAACCATACAACCACATCAATTGAGGTAGAAAAAAATATTTGACAACATTGAGCATCCAATTTCTTTTTTTTTTTTTTTAAGAGACAGGATTCTTGAATGCTCAGGCTCAAGTGATCCTCCTGCGTCAGCCTCCTGAGTAGCTAAGACTATAGGCACAATGCACCGCTCCTGGCTCAGCATCCATTCTTAATAAAAACTCACAGCAAACTAAAGAGAAGGAACTTCTGGAACCTAATTGAGGGCATCTACAAAAACATCCACAGCTAACATAAAATTAGTAGTAAAAGAGTGAATGCTTTTCCCACTTGAGCAAGGAAAGGATATCCACTGTCATTGTTTTTATTTGACATCTTAATGGGAAGTCTTAGCCAATTCAATAAGGCAAGAAAAAAGACATAAAAGGCATATGGATAGGGAAGAAAGACATGAAACTGTCCTTATTTGCAGATTACATGCTTTTCTAAGTAGAAAATCCCAAGGAATCTATAAAACAAAATTTTTTAAAAAGTCTTCCTAGGACAAATAAATGAGTTTAGCAAGGATATCAGGATATAAAGCCAACATATAAAAATCAATAATATTGTTACATATTAGCAATGCACAGCTGAAAACTGAAATAAAAATACAACAGCTCATAAAAATAAAATATTTAGGTATAAATCTAATAAAGGATATATAGGATCTGTATGCTGAAAACTACAAAATGCTGATGAAAGAAATAAAGCCTAAATAAGTGGAGAGCAATACCATGTTCATGAATGGGAAGAGTCAACACAATAAACATATCATTCCCTCCAAATGATCAATACAGTTAACACAATACCAGTTAAAATCTTAGCAGGACTTTTTTTTTTTTTGTAGATGTAACCAAGCAAGTTCTAAAACTTATATGAAAAGGGAAGGAAACTAAAATAGCTAAGATGATTCTGGAAAAAACAATAAAATTGGAAAAAGCATGTTACCCGAATATAAGACTTACAATGAAGCCACTGTAATCAGGGCAATGTAGTATTAGTGAAGGGAAAGACACATCGATTGATGGAACAGAATAGAGTTTAGAAATAGACTCATGCAAAGATAAGATTCTATATGACCAGTGCATTTTTCAACAAAGGTACAAGAGCAATTTAATGGAAAAAGGATAATGTTTTCAACAAATGATACTGAAATAACTGACATCCCTATGTAAAAAAAATGGACATCAGCCCAGACATGGTGGCTCACACCTGTAATCCCAACACGTTGGGAGGCTGAGGTGGGAGGATCACTTGAGGTCCGAGACCAGCCAGGGAGTTCCGGACCAGCCAGACCAACATGAAGAAACCCTGTCTCTACTAAAAATACAAAATTAGCCAGGTGTGGTGGCACATGTCTGTAATCCCAGATACTCAGGAGGCTGAGGCAGGAGAATTGCTTGAATCTGGGAGGCAGAGGTTGCAGTGAGCCCAGATTGCGCCATTACACTCCAGCCTGGGCAACAAGAGTGAAACTCCATCGGCAAAAAAAGAAAAAAAAAATATGGACCTCAACCTAAACCTCAGAACTCATACAAAAATTAACTCAAAATGTATCATACATATAAATGTACAAAGTAAAACTATACAACTTTTAGAAGAAAGCAGAAGAAAAATCTTTGTGACCTGGGGTTAGACAACAACTTCTAACACCAGGTGCATAATCCATTAAAGGAAAAACTGATTAATTGGACTTACTCAAAATTAAAAACTTTCACTCTTCATATGATCCAGTTAAGAGAATAAAAAGACTATCTACAGAAGAGAGGAAAATACTTTCAAATAACATATCCGATAAAAGACAGATCCAGAATTTATAAAGAATCAAGGCTGGGCGCAGTGGCTCAGGCCTGTAATCCCAGCAGTTTGGGAGGCTGAGGCAGGTGAATCACCTGAGGTTGGGAGTTCCCCTGGGGCTGAAATGTACCACCATCACCTCCTGGGTGTGGTAATGCATTCCTATAATCCCAGCTACTCGGGAGGCTGAGGCAGGAGAATCACTTGAACCTGGGAGGCAGAAGTTGTGGTGAGCAGAGATCACACCATTGCACTCCAGCCTGGGCAAGAGCAAAACTCTGTATCAAAAAAAAAAAGAAAAGAAAAAAGAAAAAGAAAAAAAAAAGCAATTTCAAATGGGCAAAAGGCTTGAAGAAGCACCTCACCAAAAAGTATATTATATATGCAGATGACAAGCCTATGAAAAGTTGTTCAACATCATTAGCCATTAGGGAAAAATAAATTAAAATCACAATGAGATACCACTGCACATGTATTAGAATGGCTAATATAAAAAATGGAGATGATACCAAGTGCTGATAAAGATGCAGAACAACTGGAATTCTCCTACATTGCTGATGGAAATGCAAAATGGTACAGCCAATCTGGAAAACACTTTTGGCAGTTTCTTAAAAAGTCAAACGTGTATTTACCTTATGATCCAGCAGTACCACCAGTGGGTATCTACTGTAGAGGATTAAAAAGTTATGTTCATGTAAAAATCTGTACATGAACTTTATAGCAGTTCTATTAATAGTTGCCCAAAACTGGAAACCACCCAGTGGATGAATGCATAAACAAACTATAATACAATCATATAATAAAATACTACTCAGCAATAATGGGAACAAACTATTGATACATACAATTTGGATGGTAATCAAAGGCATTATGCTGAATAAAAGGATTCAGTCTCAAAAGGTTACATACTGCATGATTCCACTTACATAACATTCTCAAAAACAAAACTATAGTGATGCAGAATAGTGGTTTCCAGGGGATTGGAGTATGCATAGAGGTAAGGTCATGGGGATGTGACTATAAGAAATAGCATGAGGGAGTTTTCTGGTGATGAGACTGCTTTGTATTCTTATTGTAGTGGTAGTTATATGAATCTATACATGTGTTAAATTCACAGAACTGTGACATCTCCCCCCCAATCCACCAAAAAAGGGTCAAATTTACTGTATGATAACTTTTGATCTGAAATAAAACCCCACAGGAAAAAAGTATTAGTTTTAAAACAGAAGTTCAAGAAGTAGAACAGTTTCTTCTGGGTTGAGAAAAAAAAGGTTTCATGAAGGATGAGGCATTTAAAAAATGTATGTTGGAGGTACAGCCTGTAATACTTGTTCACAATCTATCTTCTCTGATAGACAATGTATAATGAGGGCAGGAGAAATGTCTGGCTTGTTCACCACTATATAAGCAATAATTAAAGCAGTACTTTGCACACATTAGGCACTCAATTTGTATATGATTGATTTATTACTTATGATATTAATAGGCAGAGATACAATAACACATTCTAGGAAAAGTGAAAAACATTAGAAAATACCTTAAATTTCCATTTCCTCTCCTCTTTCTAAATCCTTCCTATCTCTTCAAGGTCACTTAAAGTTCAGTTACAGCATCAGGTTCCCCTGATTCTTCCAGCCCACATTCATTTTTCCAACTTTTCCAAACTTGCTCTATCAAACTTAGTCTAACAATTTAGCATAGTACTACTTAGTATTTTAAAGATTATGCCTCATTTCCTTCAATAGTTATTAAAATGTCTTTTTATATTACTTAAATTTTAAAATACATTATATTACATGAGTAAAAACAAATCAAAGCACTATTTAGCTTCAAAGTAAACTTCATGCCTTCAATCATCCAGCAGATTTTCATCTACTCCTGTGTCCCCTCAATTGGCCAAGTCTTCCCCTCCTCTTCTGTTTCCATATTCACATCATTAGTTTAATGCTCAATGATCGGCATTTATTAATTTAAGATTTAATGTTATTCCCTAACAGGTTAACATGTAACTCATTTCCTTAGCTTTCTATTCCTGAGGACAGAGATGATACCTAATTCTTATTTATTATAAATAATTAATATGTAACAGATACATGCTAATTGGATGTCCCTGGGTACTATTCCCTAGCCTATTCTACTCCTATTTTTTACTTCTCTACTAAGAAGAACCTTTTTTTGTTTTTTTCCAAAAGCCAATTCTGGACACTTTTGTAATGGATATTTTAAAAGGCAGAGCTAAATTTTCTTTTTGGTAATTCTGCATATTATATCAGAAATTGCCAGAAAGCTTACAATACTGGCATTCTGGCACCATTTGATTTTCATAACACGCTGACATTAGCCTGAATCAGATAACTGAACTCAAGCTGGCCTTTAAGTTGCTTACTCTTGTGTTCAATTGGAAAGGTAAGAATACAATTAAGAATGTTCAAATGTTGAATATTTATCAACTCTGTCTAGAAAAAGTTGAAAAATACTTAAATTTTGAGAAATGGAACCACACTCCAACTCCTTTATCATATGTAAGTATTTTTTGTTAAACATTCATATATATTTTTAGAAATATATTGGGTGAAAAAATAGTACTTTTTTTTTTTTGAGACGGAGTCCCTCTGTCGCCCAGGCTTGAATGCAGTGGCACTATCTTGGCTCAGAGCAACCTCCGCCTCCTAGGTTCAAGTGATTCTCCTGCCTCAGCCTCCCGAGGAGCTGGGACTACAGGCATACGCCACCATGCCTGGCTGATTTTTGCATTTTTAGTAGAGGTGGGGTGTCACCATATTGGCCAGGCTGATCTCAAACTCCTGACCTTGTGATCTGTCTGCCTCGGCCTCCCAAAGTGCTGAATTACAGGCATGAGCCACCACATCAGGCCCAGAGTACTTATTTTTAAAGTACAAACTAACTTTGGTCAAATATCACAAATATAGACAGCTTGTGAATTACTCATAAGAATTGAGGGTATCTTATTCTTCATTTCCTTACATAGTACTAGCCATGGGTAACAAGCACAGACACGTCAAAACAACCAAAATTCTTTGACCCGTCAAACTTCCTTTTTTTTTTTTTTTTTTTTGAGACAGAATCTTGCTCTTGTCACCCAGGCTGGAGTACAATGATGCAATCTCAGCTCACTGCAACCTCCACGACCCAGGTTCAAGCAATTCTCCTGCCTCAATCTCCTGAGTAGCTGGGATTACAGGCACCTGCCACCATGCCCAGCTATTTTTTGTATTTTTAATAGAGACGGAGTTTCACCATGTTGGCCAGGGTGGTCTCCAACTCCTGACCTCAGGTGATCTGCCCACACTGGCCTCTGAAAGTGCTGGGATTACAGGTGTGAGCCACTGTGTCTAGCCTACCCCTCAGACTTTCAATAGTGATTGTTAGAGTTCCTGGCCCACACATTATCTCACCACATCAATCTCATTTATATCCTCTAAATCAGGTCCACTATTTGCTTTATTTTTTCCTCAAATCAATCATTACACAGTTCTTTTACCCCCCGGAAATTAAGTTAGGCTGAGCATCAAAGATAGGCTTTATAATGCTATGTAAAGACAGCAGGGCTATCTTTGAATGCTCTTATACTTGCAAACTCATTAAGACTCATTAGGAGAAGAAGACTTAGTATCCACTTTATAAATTAGAATATATTCTCTAATAAGAATTGGTGTTGGCTGGGGGCAGTGGCTCATACCTGTAATCTCAGCACTTTTGGAGGCTGAGGCACCCAATCAAACTCCTTGACCCCCGGAGTTTGAGAGCAGCCTCGGCAACATGGCAAAACCCTGCCTCTACAAAAAAACAAAACAAAACTACAAAAGCTAGCTGGGTGTGGTAGCGCAGGCCTGTAGTCCCAGTTACTTGGGAGGCTGAGGTGGGAGAATCACCTAAGCCCAGAAAATCAAGGCTGCAGTGAGCTGAGATTGTACCACTGCAGTCCAGCCTGAGGGACAGAGCAAGATTCTGTCTCAAAAAAATGGGTGTTATATGGCTAAATATGCATATAGCCATAGTGTCCAATACAGTTTGCCAAAAGTAGTGTTAGAAGTCATAAAGGACCTAACAGTGCTGAGAAATATACTATCCATCTCTCTAATAAATAAAATAATATGCTCACCCTCTGGTGGCCAAAATCGGAAATACACATCCATTTTCCTGGGTTACATCCAAAATATTAGTGTAGTATAATATATTAAGTTTCTGCTTCATATTTAACCTAAACCAAAAAGATTTTAAAAGAAGGCCATTGACTTTAAAAAAATTTCTACTCTAATATGTAATATAAAATCAACAAGATTATTAAATATACTAATTTAAGAATATGGCATGGCTTATAACAATATTTGATACTTAAAATTTAAATTTGTTTTAAAATATCAGAACTATAAAAATTTAGAGAAGGAATTACAGTTAACATGTAAGTCTATAATTTAAAACTCCATGTTAGATAATTAGTTTTTTAAACTTT